CAATTTGCCTACACGCCGCCATTTGCGTCAGCGAGGAACGGAGAGAACCAGCCTATCTAAAATTATAATCTGAAAAAGTGCACGACCGTTTGCGCGCACTGTGTGGTGCGTGTGTTTGTGTGTGTGTGTGTGTGTGTGTGTGTATGCGTTGCACGCGAGAGGTCGAGTACGCGCGCGTAGTCGATTAATTATGGCAAATCGCGTATTATTATAAATTTCGCAGCTAATTGGTACCTTTTTAGCCACGAGGCATCCTTTTAACGTAATATATTCTCAATGTTCGATCCGCCGCTTATTACCGTATCTTCGCGAAATTTATTCGTTGCGTTTGAGAGATATAAGAGTTATAATAAAGATCCTATTAATTTGTAAATAACTAAGTGAATCATTTTTCGAATTTTGCCAATTTGACCTTTACACTCGTGTACTGACATAAAAACATCATCACGATTTAATGATCCCTTTAACAGGTTGACGAGGCCATGCACAACGTACTATGTACGTCATAATGAATTTGGAGCGCGTAACACCTGAACGAGATGACAAATGAATATTTCCGGTACGAAGGCAGTCAGCCACAAATGGATTTTGATCGGTGCGGTTGACTTTAACGCAAGTTAATTAGCTCTTCAATTATCATCGTCGGACCGCCGGAACAATGAATCGTTTGTGAATGAAGTGTTTACAGCCCGATGCTAATTTGCGGTACACCTGCTTTTTGGCGAATGCAACGAAAACGCAAATGTTCCTTACTTTATAATCATTACAGTTACAGTCACTAAGCAACCATAGTGTGCGATCTTTCAATTACAATAAATCTAGTCTCTTAATTGCATGAAGATAAATATCATATCTTTTTACGCATATCTTTCTACACGTATCAAATGATCAGAAATGGTAAAATATGAATATTGCATCGCTAAAAAGATCTTATGGATAAGAAAAATAAATAAAAATGTCCAGTTAACTCAATAAAAACTATTATATAAAGAAAAATTATTTTTAAGTCTATTCTAACCACAAAAATATAAAAATAGCTCAAAAAATCATATTAAAATAAATATTTTGTATAAATACTGCCAATTTGAGAAAAATTAAATAAAGACATAAACTATTACGACTTAACAAATGATGTAACACCTGAGCAGTTTTTCGAAATGAGTTAATAAAGTTTAAAACAACTGCGTGCAAATGCAAAGACATCGATTGTATGTAATAAAAATGCACTCAGGCTGTCTCGTTGAACAGAGTTTATGCTGCATTTTACAATCGGTCGGCGTATTTATTCGCCAAGCGAAAAGGAACGATCCTCATACGGCGCTATAGCACGTCCTGATCGATTTAACGCCAAATGTCGCCGTGTTTTACACGCGGCAATAATGGTTGAAATCTATGTAGCCAATATTTCAAGCCACCCTTTCTCGCCTGAACGTCCCCAACCTCCACATGGATGGCGTTCGTACACCAACGATACGTAGCCTTGGTTATTGGTCCGCATATGGACATCGCTCGATATTTTATATTCTACAGAGAAATGAAGGTATAAATGCAATCATGGTTGACGCCTTTCGAAAAACGAAATTATCATGTTCCGAAAAAATCATGAAGCATATTATTACGCTTTAACAAAATTCAGAATAAACATTCTGTCGTTGTTTATGACTAATAACTATTTATAAAGAGGAAGAATAAAGAAATGTCTACTTCTAGATAATATAATAATATAATCCAACATTCTCTCGTATTCAATAACTTAGGATAACTTTATAAAATATTGTACAATTAATTTTATATGTTTTTTTATTTTGAATGTTTTGCACTTCGAGTAGTATTTTAGAGATGTAAAACAATTCGGATTGATCGAATATACGGCATTTACATATTTTGGAGGAAAGAGAACGATCCAAAGAACACACGGAAGAGTGATAGTCCCGAGGGAGAAATACGATTCCCGACAAAAGAGAATCCTTCTGTAAACGACAAGTGTAATTTGCGCGAGAATAGAGTACGTCACGCAATACGACGACTTCAAAGATTACTTTCTAACAGATACTTGCTAGTCCATTTCTCTTTATCCCCTTTTATTTAGCCGAACTCATCGATATTTGCATGTATCGCTCTAAATATAATGATACACATCCCACTTAAATGATATTTTTTACAAATTAATAATTGGTATTTAATTGAATATATTTTTTGATAATTAACATTTAATTGTAAATTTTTCGATTAAGTCGATATATCGAAGTAGATCATAATTCCTCATAATTTTTACATCTCAAAAATATCTCTGCATTAATCTACAATTTAAAATTCCATTAATTAAATTGCACTTGAAATTAAGTAAAAAAATCAAATTCATTGATCAATATAGTCAAACGTGATATCAACTTGTAAATTCAAACGAGTGATTTATCTATCGATACTGTTCTCTTAGGTATATTGTATTAAACTTACGCTTAAGGGTTCCTGTTTTCGGGCGAAAGGGCACGTCGTCGTTGTAACACATGTGTCTTTACGAGAGTGTGTTCACGAGCCCGTAATATTTTAGGGAGCCCTCCTGGTCCTCGTTCTTTAAAAACTAGCCAGTGCATATGTCGACGTAGGCGACATAATGTTATCAAGCTGTCCAGAAAGAGCCGCCACCGATCGCCGCCACGTAAGAACGAGGACCTCGGGGGACCACGTCCTCGCTCTCGCCCACTTCGTTCTTATTGATATACCGAATAAACACACTTGGCAGCTAGGCCAGGGCGGCTTTGCGAGGCAAATAGCTTCAGAAAAACCCTACGTTCGGGAGGGGAAATATCTTTCCTTCCTTAAAGTCGACACTATGCTCGACGCTGATAACAACAATTGTGATAAAAGCTATGAAGACCGCTATAAATTATATGAAGATATAAGATAAATTACTTTCTACCGAAAAATAAACTTCTGTGCAAATATAATGAAAAAATTGTAACAGAATTCTATCGCTGAGTTTTATCTTGCAGATAAATAACTATTGTGCATACGTATTCTAAGATTCGTATATTAGAATTTAATGAGACATTGCCACGCGCGCGCGCAGTGACGTACTATGATTCGTAACGGAATCGTCTTCGGTTTAATCTGACTGAGAAATTACTTCTTTCTTAAAGTACTATAAGTTGTAATGAGATTGCTTTATCTTTTTTTTTTTATTTTACTTTCAAAAATAGCTGTGTCAGTTATATGAAAATTATATGAAAGTTTAATATTATAAAATAATAATAATAAATAATTTAGTTCTACCATTTCTACATTTTAAAATAATAAAGAAAAGAAATTTAGCTTTAATATCCTTTTACGTTGTAAAACGTGTCTTATGAAGCCTGACACGCCGCCGAAATGTCATTTACCTTGTAAAATGGAATCTCATTCAGTCTCCAGTTTCACCCCCATAGCTTTTAAGTTCAAGCTTCGACCCTTATCGACCGCATCGTGGACTTTGCGCACCTCGTCGAGTGCAGCGGTTATCCAGTAAATAAAGATGAATAGTTTCCCCGTCATCGCTCTCTCGCACACACAAACACACATAATCGCGAGCATGTGTGCGCGCAGCAACGAGACGATTTTAAATTCCGCGAGTCAAAGCGATGTTTGACATGGAAATGTTGAGCGATGCATTAAACATGCCGCGTCGAGTGCTTCCTTCTCCCTCCCGCAAGATCGTAATCCCCCTGTTTCTTCAAGAAAGACGAAAAGTGCTCCCTTCGACCGTCTGGGGCCTGATCGTATAACCAACGAACTTCGGGCCCCAGTACAATCGCCCTCGCGTTGTCCGAGCTATGTTTATTTAGGCAAATGAAAAGAACCACCGTGGTTTCACTAGTTCTCGAGGCTTTTATATATTCGTCAATATAAAGAAAACGACAATTGCAATATTAAATCCTCCTATTTGCTTTAAAAACGATAAGATTATACTACCGCCTTTTTTATCTCTTGTACATTCTTTAAATCCTTAAATTCTTGTACAGGTACAAAAAATTTGTTTAAATACGTGATACTTTTCATTACTATATTGTCTTCGATATTTCAGAAAAAATGATTTGATGCTTTTACATCCTTCAAATACATTATGCATTGATCAGAATTGCCAATAATGTAACACAGACGTTAGTTTCGAGCTAGCTTGCATATAAATAATAAAAATCCCACAGGGTTTTGTCATTGCAAATTATTGCATGAAGCTATAATACAGTTTAGGTTTAAACTTGTTCTATTTTTTAATATTTTATATTGCAAAACTTATAAATGTGTATAATTCTATATTGATGTTGTATATATAGCTCCAGATTGCTCGTAACTTTGTCTCGATGTGACATGTAAAGTTGTAAATCGTTCTAGTATCATTATCGTCGGCGAATTACGAGGAACACAGCACGACAAGCGTCGCGAATTTCCGAGTCGTGATTGGTGGAGCAGTTGTCGTGGAGCACCTGCGAGGCAATTTTACTGAACCTTCCAAAAGAAACTCCCGCCATTGTCCGACAAAATGACATCATGCTTATTGCATTATTTAAAGAGCTTCGTTTTAAGACTACTTTAAACCTGATCCACGATTGTCGGAACACCGCTACTGATGGCACAAGTTAGATTTCTTAGGATGGAGTGATATTACAAATGCTTTGAAATGTTCTTTGATTGATCAAAATTAATAAAATTCTTTCCTTTGATCAATCAAGTATTTCAAAGCATTTATAGAGACTTTAATTGTATCCATGATTGAATCGAGAAGATGCACGTTTACGACATTTATTCGAGATTTAAATTAACATGACGTTATATAATTATTATAATTAGCAAAACAAAAAGAAAAAATTAAGGGAAAAGGGGAAAAAATGTTTAATGTTGCACGATCATACTCTGCACGCTTACAATTAAACATTTTTGTGTTTTACTATAATTTGCATTGTTCTCGCAAAATAAAATATTTCTCTAGATCACGTAGTAATTCATTTCACAAGGTTTTTACTTACCGGGTGAGATGCCAAGTTTCGCATGCATGCTACTGGGGCTTCTGTGATCGGGGGTGGTAACAGGGGCAGCTACGGGTGGCGACAGGTGGGGATGTGTCAGTGGCCCACCGCTTGTCGTCGTCGTGGTAGTCGTTGTGGCACAAGGATTTAAGGGTGATGTCCTCTTGAAAGACTGGTCCGTTCGCCACGAGACATCATTGTCTCCTATCCAGACTTTACCTACGCAAGTAAAGTCATGTCAAGTTAGATGTAAGAATACAATGAGATAGAGAAAAGAACACAAAACTTAAAATAATAATTACTATTTAAAAATATAAATATATATTATACACAAAATGCGAAATATTGATTATTTCCTCAATTCTCTTGATACTGAAATCAATGCTACGCACGTACACATACAGCCTTTCATAAACGAGAGAAAAGTATGCACGATCTCCCTTGCTACGGCAATATCAGCGATGGAAGATCAAATTGCAAAAGAGGCTCTCGAGATAAATTCTATGCTCCGTGCGTGTATTAATATAACGCACACCGGAGCGGCTATGCGTGTGCAGAAAATGGCTTCTCTCCCCTGGATAGAACCCGTCGTAATTAGCGACCCTCCGAATCCCCTATTCCTACCAGTTTTCCCCATTTTCCCCCGTTTCCCTTAATTTCTGGGAACAATGCCCGGCTCTGGATGTTGTTCCAGGCTGCAGTGTCTAATTACACGCGGGGGCATACCGAGTTCTCCTTTCCCAAATTTGTAAGGGCGATGTATGGGGTGCATCGAAATGTTTATAAATGTGACATGCAATTTATATTTGCCATTAAAAGTATAAAAACATTTTTTTAATATTAATACAATAATGAATAATCAATTAAATATTATTAGAATTTTATTCATATAAGAAACTTATTAAATCCACTTTTCGGATTTAAACTATAAATATACCGGTGTGTCCACATAAATGAATTTATTATTATATCTCACGAATGTTATGTCGCGTGCAAGGTGTCGGATATCCATGCCGTATCTTTTCGAGCACCCCGTAGCTGGCGGAGATCTCGGATTTATGGAACACGCGAATACCGTATCGCCCCCGCATGCGTGCGACGTGACTCAGACTCGGTATTATTTGCTTGACGAATGATTTAGCCCGAAATACTTAGCTCGTTTTTCCCCATTACCTCTCTCCCCTACTCTTCTGCTTTATCTCGCACCCCCCTCCCTCCTCTCTCCTAACAGAATACTAACCTTTCTTCGTTCACTCTACCTCCTAACGATAATCGGAGAAACGCGTTACTCCAGAGACAGAAATACAGTAACTAGAAGACGATAGGAGAATAGGGAGTGACGGGTGGTTCACAGCAGAATGCAGGAAAGCGGTGAAGATAGAACGAGGGTGGTAACTGGAGCCTGTGGTTTCGCGAAAGAAAGAAAGGACGTTCTTCCTATCGAGAGGAAAAAGAGAGGCGGGAAAAGCGGTGGGGCTGAAGAAAGTGTAGCCGGCGCTAACTAAGGGCGTCGGCTAATCAATATCATCAGAGAATGGCCGCTGACCTCCATCTACCCCGCTAGAACGACCATTGTCCAGTATTCCCGCTTTTCCAATGAGTCGCATGAGCGAATACAAAAAATATTCGTTTTTTCCAGAAATGGTAAATTGCAAGAATATTTCGCCCAAAATGTAGCAATATCATATTATATTTGTTACAGTAATTATTATGAATATAAAAAGTATCATTATATCAAAATATTTTCGATAATAGTTATGGCATTTTGTAATTGAGTTTAGCCAACATTTTGTATCAAGTTGATATCAAGTTCTAATTAAATGGTCTATTAGTCATTTATGAACTTTCAGAGAAAGATATTAAGAGTCGCCTCAGTGTCATTTCCACAAGGATAGCTTGCCCAAGGCTACGATTCAATCCTGAACCATAGTATAGAGGTTTCCTTTAATCTCGTAGTGTTTGCATGGTTCCCAGATTTTATTCAACCCCACAGAGACAATCAAAGTCACCCTAAAGGCTAGTGAACTTGACGTGAAATTGCACGCGAGTTTGTGGAAAATTCAATTATGCGAATCTGCAAGAATCATATCGAATATCACTCAACAAGAAAGTTGCCAAAGAATGATCGAATTATTATCTCATTGATCAAATTTTTCAATCAATATAGAGTAAATCGTTTTTTGAAAGACAAAGAAAAACGTAGGTATCTATAGATAACTTCTTGACGAAGAATAAATTGAAAATAAAAAAAGAAGCACGACTAATCTCTCATCAGACTGATGCTTCGTTCATCAGTCTCATCTACGCTTCCCTAAAGCTTCCCTTCCTTTCTCTCTCTCGCAATAAGGGTCGTAGCTATGTCCGAACAGAAATCAGTCCGCATAAACAGAACCATCCATTCCTCGATTCGCTCCTTCTACCCCTCGTAAGCCTTGCAGAGAACCTTCCCCCTCTTCATCCTTTGCATTCTCCCTCGTCCATTCGTCCAACTCGGCGCGAACTCCATTCACGGGTTTATCACTGTCCAGATAACAACGATTTACCTACAGGCGAACTCCTATGGGTTAGGTTTCGGGAGGGTAAGAGGGTACGTCTGGTGGGGTTGCCGGAGAAGAGGGATGAGGTGAGCCTCATGGCAGGACCGTCGAAGAAGGCAAGACGGGCAGCCACCTTGCATTCGGAGTATTTCACTTTAACGGCCCTCCAGGGGATTGGCTGACCCCGACCGGAGACCCTTCACCGTTTCGGCATAATGGACCTCTACATTACTTATTCGTCCTAGCCAATGTCCTGCTAGCGGCTCCGTTCCTGACTGCGGCGCCGACGAAGCCGCTCGTTTTCCACGTCCTATCGTTCCTGCGTACGATTAATCGCATGTCGCGCGAACAAGGATTATCGAGAATTGGAAATGCTGCAATAGGAAATAGTTATTTATATTAGATAGATACTTAAACGCGTGTTTAAATACACAAAATCATCAACCTCTAATTAAATTTTATATCACACCAATGATATAAATTAGAAAATATGAAAAAAGTATTCAAAATTTTCTGAAAAAATTATATTTCAAAGTCTAAAATATTTTTATCCAATCATATATTTCCACCTCCTTTTCTAACAAAAGGCGATAGAGCCACCTTTGCTGATTTCAGCTTCCGGGTACCGACCAGTAGCACGGAAGAACAACACGCCCCGAGCAAACTGCTTTTCTCCCGAAAGAATTGAAAATTCCTGCTCGTCCAAGGGTTGAGGAGGTCGACGATAGAGAGGGCGGCGGCTGAGGAGACGAAGAAGCGGGACGAGGAAGCGAACGCGGATAAAGCGTTCGATATAAGATTAATGCTAGAGGCCGCCGACCAGTCCCGCGCACGTCGAGGACCGTTCAGCCATACACGAAGGCAATGGTGATTCCTCTTTGAAGGTAGAACCGTGGGCAGTGGCCAAATTGAATCCTGCTTAGGACAGAAGAAGCGTCGAGAGAACGAGAGGACGAGCGGGAGCCGGCCCCAGAGCCCTTTCTCCAATAAATAAATCGCCGACCGTCCGTGGGTCTCCGATTTTCAGCTCGAACGTACGGATTAAAATCGACCGACCGATTTGTAACGACGAACACCGAAAGTAATTGCACGATTATCTTATTTCTGTGTGTTCCTTTGCTTTCTTTTTTGATAGAAAATTATTTAACAAGAATGTTTCGTTCATGCTAAATATATTTCTAATCAAAGTTTTATACAAGCACTTTCTTTTATATTACAAACGTAAAATATAATCTAAAATATAAGAACTATTTAATTGAAAGAATAAAAAATTAAATTCTTCCGTTAAAGATATTGGCACGATAATCTCGTTTCCGCGTTAATAACTATTACTGTATTTAAACCTATAGCTTCCATATCATATTATATATATAAAATTTCAAAGATATGAATTTCATAAAATATTTATCCTACTTTATACGTATCACTGATTATATTGTACGCACGAGATTAATATTTATCTTATTATCTCATATTTTAACTGTAACTATTAAATATAAATTAATTAAAGAACACAAAGTAAGATTAGAAAAACTATCGATAAATCACTCATGCCGCGATAATGCAAAGTAAGAAAAGGGTAAAGTCTAAAGAACGTCCTGATTCTTAAATAAAACAAGTGTGAATGACTTTTAATCGGTCATTGTGATTATCAGAAATAACACCATAATATAAACCATATAATACTATTGAAATGATATCTTTTCCCGATCTATTAACTCTTTCATAATATTACTAATATTGTATTATCTATCAATATGATTAAGCGAATCAATACGCCATGTAAATAAAACGATAACATCATACATATTTTTTCTTAAGTAGCTGTGTAAGTTATAAAGTACAATAGTATCTAATATTTAAAATTCTCAATCAATTATGTATTTAATTGAATATTTATATATTCAATACTAATAACAAACAATGTTATAAAATATAAAGTTTTACTCGAAACTTACTACTTAATTTGTTTTTATAATTCTTTTTCTATTCTTATCTATAATAGCGTGGAAAATTTATGTTGATTTCGAAGCTAATAAAATGTTCTTATCTATATCAACAACTTATGATTATCACATTACTTCTTCAAATACAAAATACTAATACACGATCCTTGTAAAAATATTCTGAAAAATATGGAATCTCTGCGTCGTATATTATCAATAAACTGAATAAACCTGGTATAGGCGTAAAATTTTTCATTCTCGCGTTGACGCATACTCGTGATAAAATTATGAATCAGAGTAAAGTCCAGTATGAACCAATGTTAGTTAATGGCATTACATGTACACGTAACTACTTATAATCTCTTAGTTATTGACAATTATCGTAGCAAATAATATACACGGTATAAAAAAGTTCTCTTAGTATTTTCTAACGCGTAATTATTTTACTTTCTTTTAGTTTTAATTATCTTTTAATTCTTTGTTTTCTTAAACTTAGTGAAAATTCGTTGCTCATGAGAGAAAAAGACAAAGGAGCAACGTTCGTCGAGAGTTTCCCTGTTTCTTGCTGGTTGCCCTTGTCGGAACAACGATCGATAAAGCTGACCCCCTACCCTCCTCCCGTGCACTCTGGGTATCTTGACATTCGCATAAGCTTGAGTGTCCTTAAATTCGCACTCATACATATCGAGAGATTTATTGACTAATTTAAGAAGTTAATATATAATACTTTCTAAAT